AAAAAATCCAAGTAATCGGATGAAATTAATTAAAATAATATACATCTAATGAAGCTGAGGTCACAGACTAGAAAGGAAAAAGTCGGCGATTTGCAAAAAACAGCCAAGAAAAGTAAAAATTTGTTGATTGAAGAAAGGAGAGAAAAAATTGGAACACGCACTGCGGAGAAAGGTTTGAAAGCAGTTTTGAAGAGAATAAAACCAAGCGACGTTGTTGTAAATCGCGTAGAAATCGAAGACTACAGAAAGGAAAAAAGAGAAAAAGAAAAAAAGCAGAAAGGAAAGAAGAGAAAAAGAAAAAAGCCGAAAAATGACTGACCACATGTACATTAAACCCGTTGATCCATTGAAATTGGATGGAAATTTGAACGAGAATTGGAAGAAATTCAAACGCAACTACGACATTTTTGTGATTGCCATCGGAATGGGAGAGAAGACCGATCCAGTAAAAATCAACACATTTTTGAATGCAGTGGGTCCCGAAGCCGTCGAAATTTACGATACATTTGATTTGACAGAGAGCAACTTACAACGATGTAACGAAAGCATTTGCTGATTTTTGTGCCGCACGAAAAAACACCGTTTACGACAGGTATATGTTCTACAATCGAGACCAGAAAGAAGGAGAATCGTTCGATGCCTTTTTGATGGACATCAAATTGCTGGTGAAATCATGCGAATTTAATCAAGCGACGAACGAAATGTTGCGGGACAGAATCGTCATGGGCATTACCGATAAAAAATTACAAACGAAATTATTGGAATCAAATGACTTAACATACGATGCAGCCGTTGAAAAATGTCGTGCAGCAGAGGCAACCAAAGAGCACACCGAAAAAATGAGTAAAATTAAATCGCAAGAAGTCAATGAGTTGAAGGGAGACGGTGCACAGTCAACACAAACGTACAAACAACACAGTAAGAATACGAGACAAAGCAACAACAACAAGCACAGACAGAACGATAAGAGAGCAACCACGTGGCAAGGCAACACACAGTACCGTTCGAACGCGAGCCGAAACAGTGGCAACAGCAACAGCAGAGGTAGTAACAACAACAGTGAAAACAGCCGAAACAACACCAATCAATCCAAATGCAAACGATGCGGATACAATCACAATTTCAACGACAAATGTCCAGCTCAGGGAAAGACTTGCAATGTATGTTCTAAGCCCAATCATTTTGGAAGCGTTTGCAAATCGCGCAGCATAAATTCAATTGAATATGGCTTTGCAAACGATAACAACGATTTTTACATTGGGGCACTTGAACGAAATGTAACAAACACAGCCGGAGATGTGATTGCAACAAGGTGGTTGGAAAGAATTCGCATCAATGATCAACTCGTGGCATTTAAAATTGACACTGGTGCTGAAATGAATGTATTGCCGTTACACATTTTCAGACGATTGATGTTTGGTTCGAACGAGGGTTTGCGGTTCACAAACATGACATTGAGAGCATTTGGTGGACAAACGATAAATCCAGAAGGTATGTGTTCATTGATTTGTTCCTTTAAAAATATGAATTTGAGAGTTGTTTTCGCCGTCGTTGATCTTGATGTGACCCCTATACTTGGTTTGGCGACATGCACAGCATTTGGCATCGTCAGCCCACCGCGCACACGCAACAACACAAACAGAATAAATCGATACAATTTTTGACTAGAGGCACTTTGCGCGAACATTGATAAATCGTACGTTTTCAAGCATTATTCAGAATTATTTGAGGGTCTGGGCACATTTGATGGTGAATATAGAATTTTGTTGAAAAAAGACGCTCAACCAGTAGCGCATGCACCAAGAAAGGTACCGCTCGCAATAAAAAGTAAATTAAAAATGAGATTAAATGAGTTAGAAAGGAATGGAGTAATTGAAAAGGCCGATGAACGAAGTGAATGGGTGCATCATCTAGTTACAGTAGAAAAGAAGGATTTAGAAAGATCGCTGAGATTATGTATCGACCCGTCTGAATTGAATAAACAAATATTGGACGAACAATCGTATATTCCCACATTTGAAGAATTTTCATCGAGTGTGAATGGAATTAAATATTTTTCCGTGTTGGATTTAAAAGATGGTTTTCATCAAGTGCGCTTAGCAGAGGAGTCGCGTAATTTGTGTACATTCGCTACACCATTTGGCAATTATCGATACATTAGAATGCCTTTTGGCATTAAAACGGGTCCGAAAGTATTTCAAAGAAAGAATTTTGCTAATTTTGGTGACATTAAAAATGTGCACGTGTATTTTGATGACATATTTATTGTGGGCAAAACAAAACAAGAGCATGACGAAGCATTGATTAAAGTTTTAGAAAGGGCTAGAGAAAAAAATGTAAGATTTAATGAAAAGAAAATGCAAATTGCAAGCGAGTCGGTGAAATATTTGGGCCATATATTTTCGTTAAATAAAATTGAGCCAGATCCAGAAAGGTTAGAAGGAATAAGAAAAATGACGAGCCCGAAAAATAAAAAAGACTTACAGACATTTATGGGTGTGATTAATTTTATGAGGCCATTTGTTGCGAATTTATCACAGAAAGCAACTGTGCTAAGGGAACTGCTAAAGAAGAATGTGATATTTAAATGGACAGAGTTGCACACAAAAATATTCAATGACATAAAAAATGACATTTTATCGGCAAATATTTTGGTGCCTTTTGATTCGACAAAAGAACTTGTTATACAGTGCGATGCGTCTCAAGATGGATTGGGTTGTTGTCTGTTACAGGACGGTAAACCAATTTCTTTTGCGTCAAGAAGTCTCTCACCAACTGAGCAAAACTATTCACAGATAGAAAAGGAGATGTTATCGATTGTATTTGCATGCACTAAATTTAATTATTTTACGTACGGTCGAAAAATTCGTGTTGTCAACGACCATAAACCATTGTTGGGCATCATGCAAAAAGACATACACAAAATCGTATCGGCAAAATTACAACGTATGCGCATTAAATTGTTAAATTATGATGTCAATCTTGAATATGCACCGGGAAAAACCATTCATTTAGCCGATTATTTGTCGAGATATATAAATATTAGTGACGACAGCGAAGAAGACACAAGCATTACACACGCCATATTGTCAATAAATATAAGCGATGAAAAGAAGAGAGAAATGCAGAAAGAGACAGAAAGTGATGATGTACTAAGAAAGGTAAAAGAGTACTGTAAAATCGGATGGCCAAATGATAAGAAAAAATGCCCAGAGCCCCTCAGATTTTTGTTTAGATTGAAAAATGATATTATTTTGGAAGACGATTTGCTATTTTATAATGAACGTATCATTATAACAAAAAACATGCGAAAATTAATTTTGAAGAAGCTACATGAGCCACATTTTGGCATAACGAAAACGATTGAGAGAGCGAAGTCCTCAGTGTATTGGCCGAATATAAATAATGATATTGAGCATGTAACGACCCGATGTAGAATTTGTCAAGAAAATGCACCTAAAAATAGGAAAGAGCCCATGATTCCGCATGAAATTCCTAGCGGCCCATTTATGAAAGTAGCTTGCGACATTTTGTATCATAAGGGGAAAGATTATTTAGTTGTTGTCGATTACTATTCAAAATGGATAGAATTGATAAAGTTAAAAGACAAAACAGCACGCACAACAAATCTCGAGTTAATAAAACTCTTTGCTCAATTTGGTTATCCACATATTGTAATTGCCGACAATATGCCTTTCGGATCGTTCGAAAGTAAAGAATTTACGAGAGAAAATGATGTGAAAATAGTTAATAGTTCCCCGAATTACGCACAATCGAATGGAATGGCCGAAAGAATGGTGCAAGTCTGTAAAAATATTCTAAAAAAGTCGAGCTCAGAGCAAGATATTTACAAGTCATTGCTCGCATACAGAACCACACCAACAAAATACATGAATCATACACCAGCGCAGTTAATGCAAAATCGTAATTTGAGATCGAATATGCTAATGCATGTCAATAAATTCAAACCATTTAATAGTGTCAACGTTGCGAAACAACACGAAAGAAAATAAACACTCTCAAAGAAGTATTATGATATTGGAACGAGACAACGAGAACCCTTCGAACCAAATGAAAAGGTTCTTTTCATAAATAATAAAAAATGGCAGCATGGCATAATTATTCAAGCCTGTGCTGAGCCTCGTTCGTACTTAATTCAATCTGAAGATAGAGTGTATCGCAGAAACAGCAACCACATTAAGAAATTTGTTGAAAACAAAACAGTAATTAATAACCACATTAATCGAAACACTTCCAGCAGCCTTCACAGCAACGAATCACACGAAGCGGCCGACGATATTAGCATTAAGCAATTTTTTTTGTTATTCTCAATTTCGTTGGTCTTTTTCATTTCAGATTTGAACACAAACATAAACACATGAATTGCAATGTAATAGCTTCTAAGTAAATGATTGTTACAATTGAATTTTTTTGATATTTAAGAAGGATGGAATCGAATGAAAAAAAAAACAAAAACAAAGAATAGAACTAGATTTCATCCGAATTTCAAACTAAATGTAAGAAAATGAAGTATTTTTTTGGAATGGAATTAAATGTAAATAAAGAATAAAATAAATTTCATTCTAAAAAAATGAGGGAGATGTAGCATAGATGGCGCTATACGCCGCCTCACCTGTGACAATGTAACTATCATATAAGAGCAAACAATAAAGACAGTCGTTAACTAGCATTCAACGGGTACAAACTCATTCATACTACAACACTCATTCATACTACAGGATTTGTTCCCATCTACATTGCCCAGTGTACAGATATGTGCTTTTTGAAGTTTGGCGTGACGTTATAGTGGTTCGAAAGAGGAGATGTCATGAAATTTTGGCTAGTAAAACCAATACTTTTCCATACAAACAAAGTTTGCGGAAAAGTAATATCAATAAAATTTGTTTCTTGTAAGGCGCGTGTCGTTCGTCGAAGACTTGAAATTTCAATGATTCGAAGAGAAAAAACAAAATGGAAAATAAAATGCAGTGGTGTTGACGACACCATTTACTTTTAAAATGGTTCTTTCCATTGGAATTTCTCAAAAAGAAATCCGACGAAAAACCTCTAGACGAGGTTGAAATGGAGTGACGCTCCGTGCGTGGATTTACCACTCAAAATGACTGATATCATTTTGAGTGACGCTAGGACGCTGTATTACTGGGAACGAAGTTCAAAAGTGTTTTTCGCATTCACTATTGTGAAAATTTATTTACAATAAAGAACAATATCGCGTCATGACTTTTGAATTTAGTCTCCAAGTCAACCTTTCAAGCGTTTTGCCGTCCAAAATCGACTTTTTTCTTTTATATCACATAAACATTGGCATGTGTGTATGGATCTTTTTGAAGGTCTTATCAAATAATTACGACTTTGCCCGATGGGTGTCTGAGTTGATCTAGTGTGCGAAATAAATACTTGAAAAAATCATATACATGCAGGCTAGTGAAGCCACAGCCAGCTCTCCTGTGATACAAATGTCAATCTGAGGACGGATTTCGATGTGGCCCGACACCGGTTACAACTTGGGCATATCGACACCAGAATCTGTGGGGGTCAAAAGAATTCGTGGACACAGGGGGACACGTACATCCAAATCAATACTTTCATAGGAAACCATGGTCAAACTGCCAATGCCCATAACTTTTTCGTTTTTAGACCAATCGGAAAGCTTGGACCGGCGTTGGAAAGGTGGCGAGGAGGAGCTTCTCTTGGACACCTCTCACTACCCCCTGGGTACCTCTTTTGTGGGATATGGGTATAGATTTGAAAATTTCCAACCGCTATATTTTTGCCTAGACCACACTTTAGGCATGAGGGATATGGTGTTTCCGACTATTTGGGCCAAGATCTTTCCAACGGTACTTAACATTCCGGGGCTCAAATAGTGTCATGAGAAAATAGCATACTTACTGTATATATACTCGTGACGCAAAAACTGGCATTTTTGATATTTGGCTTGAAATGCACAGTTGTTGGAGCGTCACTTGTCGGACTATCGTCCTCCATGATATTCAAATTCTACAATATCAATGTAAAGAATTAATAAAATTTCATTTTAAATGAACTACTTGAGTGTATTTTGTCAATCCATCAAGAATATCAACAATTTCGACTTGATTTTGTTTGACTCCCCCATTGATTTTTCAAAAATGTGGACCTTTTTCGAAACTTTCTTCCGAGAACTAGAATTGATTTTTTTTTTGACTCCATCTGAAATTTTTGGTGTCAGAACCTAAGCTAATAACAGAAATGTCATCATCACTCAACCATAAAAAACCGAAATACTTATCATCTCTTTTCTTTTGCCCTTCAAACTTGCCTTTACTGAAAGTGTTAATGTTGTTCACAAAAGGAATCGAAATACAGGGAGTCGATGAAAAAAGATCCGTAGAGCACGATGCTGACTCAAATCTTCCGAATAGAGAATACGCGATAAAGACTCCGGTTTGGCAATTAACTCAGTACCCGTGTGTAAATAAAATGACTAACAGTCACTCAGTTGTATGTGGCTGTATTTAGTGATACACAACTAAAACTGGCTAAGTTGATTGAAATCATGCATTTTGTAAGGAGACAATCATGTTTAGTTATTCTTTCAGTCAGTCGACTAATTTGGGACATTTTGACTAAGAGTGATTTGTGATTAAAGTTAACTGCAGTTGCTTATTTTGTTCGAGACAATCATTTCTAGTCAGTCAAATAGTCACTGAATGTCCCAAATTAATCGACTGAGTTAGACAGTCAAAAAATTTCCACACGGGTATAACTGCTTGGAATGCTCAATGCTGGACTTATCGATGTCGCTAAATTTACAAACCAGACACATCGACAAACGGCCATAGGATAGAACGATTACGAGGTCGATACAATCAAGATTTGGAAATGTGAATCAAAAAACTCCAAATGGTGAATTAAGAATTCATCAATAAAATATGAATTTAACGTATCTTTTAAATAAAAAATCGCGCTAAGCGCGACGTTCAAACGGTAAATATATTTGATGTATGGATTATTTTAATGGTCCGTTCTTGCCATTTTGGTCCGTTCTAAAAGTCAAATGGTCCGCTCTAAATCGGAAAATGGTCCGTAAGTCTTCGTTAGTTTGATCATGTTTTTGACCTTTTCTTAAGAAATTTTTCTTTCAAAATGACTGAATTTAAACGTTTTTCTACAGAACGCTTTACAAATGTTTTAATTTTTCAAACACTTGGTGGAGAACGGGTTTATTTCGACATATTGGTGGACAGCGAAATGGCGAACATATTTCGCTGATTATTGCAAATATTCTTTTTGCAATAATCAGCTACATCGACTGCACACTTTATGTGATGATTGTTCGCTTTGTATGAGTCTGCCGAACTTGTTTATAAATCCTAAAATGTTCTTGTAAAAAACAGTAATTCTTGTTGTGACCAGTACTAAATCCAATATGTCATCATAGAGCTCTTAAAAGACTACACAAATAATATTTTGGTCATTTCTAAAAAATTTCGTATCTGTAAAATATGATAAATTTTGATCTCGTCCTTTTTGTCAATCGAAAAAAGCTTCACGATTCAAAAATCGGTCAACTTTGGGATATTGGCATTTCCAAAACCCTTGAAGTTATTTATTTAATTAATGGAAGCGACATTCTTCGAGCATCTAAGATGGGCTTACGCTTTAGGTGGTTCAGTTTTTATTTTTATGAAAATGCAGCAACCATATGACAACGCTGGACTGATTGGAGTTGAAGTTTGATGTGATGAATATTTCGGTTTCAACCGGTTTATTTGAATTTAGCCGCTATATTGTTTCTATTAAATGATCAAATGGCTACTGTGAATTGGAATACAACACAGGCGCACGCTAAAGCCAGTTTCATGCATATTTTTCCAATGTATTGGAGTAACATCTCAGTAGAGAAATTACACATATGAGCCTACGGAATCCGTTCCACACACAAAAAAAGATTCATACATTGTCATAGCGAATGAAGTTCTATGCATGCTTTTGTAGCAGAACTGAGCAGAACTATGTAGAGGTATTTTATATGCAGTGTACGCTTGTGTATTTGTTTGTCAATTCGCTGATTTTTACACCATTGTGGATTTCGATTTGAACAAATTGTGAATCAAAGAAAATCCATAGTTTAAGCTCTGGGTCGATGCAAAATATCCTCTTCTTAGTCATCAAATATATTGTAATGAGTCACCATATATTTTGTGTATTCACATGTTGTCAGTAAAATTTCAGTACGGAGTTTCAAAAAAAGTTTTTGTTTTGCACATGGACTGCTAGTGTCAAGTCACATAATACTAAACGCATCCATTCTTAATAGGAAAAAAATGAAAAATTAATGAGTGCGTTTAAAATTATGCAGCATTTACGTGCATTTACGTTCGACACTAGCAGTCGTTGGTTTTGCACACGGCGACTAGAAATGTACACAGAAGAGGAATTTGAAAAACATATGTATATACTATCAAAGCATTCAGCAAAGCTGTTTCGTGTTCATGATCAAACATAAAGATACTGAAATTGCTTTTCATTTCGAATTAAAGCCGAAATTTTTCGATATAGAAGATGATACAATTAGTGGATGTTTTTAAACACAATTGCGAAAAATTTTTTAGCAGAACAACACCTATAAACGTGTTTAAAAAGGTATTACCATTGTTTGTTCAAAGATAATACAGCAGATCCCCTGAAAATATCATCAGTAGATCATTCTTTATTCACATGTTTTTCGAATTGAAAATGTCAAAAAAATTCTTTGCTTGTACGAAAAATGTGGTTTTCTACACGCTTAAAATTCACGAAGAGAAAGAATTTGGTATTCAACAAAATGTTAATTTTCATCCAATAATCGATTATGGGAATAAAAAAAATTCACAACTTTGGAATTTGAAGTGAATTGTGTGTTAGTCCAAATTTCAATAGAAATATTTCATTTTTCTTAGAATCGAATGATATAAAAGAGGTCACATCTCTCTGTCAATTCAGTACAAATTTTTCCAACGTTTATCAATTATATATTGACAAAATTTTGGAACGATGGTTTCGGTAGTGAATTTTAAATTCATCACGATTTTCATTCTGGTCGTTTTGCTGAGCACTTGTCATGGTGGCAAGAAGGGAAAACGCGAAAAGTCATCATCAAAATCACCTCATTATGACGCTGCTGCAGAACAATATTATAAAAAACCCGGTCCAATTATTCATGATGGGAAAAAGTCCTCACCAAAATCCGATAGCTCTGATTCGGATTCATCTGATGACAATTTATTCGATTGGCGCCTTACTCAAGAGCAGTTTGAGGACAAATTGGGGAAGTTAGAAGCAAAGAATAAAACAAAGATAACAAAGAAAGAGAAAAAGGCATCATCAAAAGCACCTACCTATAGCTCTGATTCGTACTCATCTGAAAATATGTTGAATGACGATATATTCGATGTGGACCTTACTCCAGAGCAGATTCAGGACAAATTAAGGGTGTTAAAAGAAGAACAAAAAGCAAGGTTTGCTACCTTTTCGAAAGAAAAAAAGGCATCATCATCAAAATAACCTTCCGATAGCTCTGCTTCACATCTATCTGAACCGTTAGATTATCAATCCGATCCAGCCTTTGCCGTCATAATAACAAAAGATAAAAGACAAAGAATGGAAAAAAAGGAGAAGAAAAAAGAAAAATGTATTAACATCAATATCAATGTAAAAGTGAAAAATTAATAAAATTTCATTTTAAATGAACTATTTGATTGTGTTTTGTAGACGTTAATAATGATGGAAAATGCACGATCTGATAACTAAATACATGAATTTTGGTGATGGAAATCCAGCCATTCATGATTTTTTTTCGCTTATATTTAAACTGCACTTTTTCCAAACGATTTTTATTTTCAAATTTTGTTGCACTCTGTTCGTTTCAATATTCATTTATTTTATCGTTCGTTGTTCAAATTGTACATAATTAATATTTTGTTTGATTGTGTCTTTTGTCGATGATACTTATTCATTTTTCGCGTACTTTTCCTGTTGTTGCTGATTTTTTAGTGATTACTTAGTTATTTTTATGTTGAAAATAGTTCAGTTGAATCAAGTGCCTTGTTGTCTGTCGGCTCACTTCCACCACCGCCCATGATGTAAAATTTCGCTAATTCTTATTTGGAACAAAAAGAATTTCTTCTATAGTATATTTATACAATTTTTGCTATACGGTAATGACGAGCTGAAAAATTAACGTGCAGTACAAAACTGTCTCTTTTCATAACGATAACATACTATGTTATTGGTTCCCTCAAACCAATATAGGTCATGACTGTATTCTACCAACAATTTATTCCACTTTTGTGTTATAGATATTCGATTTATCGCTGACTTGACCTGAAATGACCAATATTTTGGCTTTACTAGCTCGCAAATTTTATAACATTTTATGTTTGATGGGAAATGACCACCTTGGGGATATGACCACCTCCCCTCTTTTTTTGCCCACCCCTTCTGACAGTGCGAAACGCACAGAAAACTGCGTACAGTTTTAAACGCCCAACTGAACGTTATTTTGTGTTCAAAATAAGGTCGGATTTGGGTTGAATTTTCATGAATTAATAACACGAATACGAATTAGCCCAAAACTCATTAGTTTAGAATGACAAAGAATTTTTTGGGCAGCAATTTGGCTAAAGGTGTTGATTTATCGATTTCCCTCTATTCACAGCCATTTGGGCGATACCCAAAATAATTTTTTCCTGATTTTTGACAAATATGGTCTGGACGATCACCATATTCAATAAAATGTCGATATCATAGGATATTTTGACTAAAAAGTCAATTTACTGAAGAAACTGTCTCCTGATAGTGTTTTTTCGAATATTGAATCTGTCCATCACATCCGTGTGAGATTGCTTGAACGAGACTGCTTCTTCTTTTCACACTAAGGACGCCGCCATTGTTGTAAAAATGTTGAGAAATGAGTGCGTTTAATGAAATGCCGATATCCGCGTAAGGCTATACTAAATAAAATGTCTTACATCCGTAAGATGAACTTTTCCACAGGATGAAATCAAAATCCGCCTAAAAACAAACAAAAAACTTCCAAAAAAATACAAAGTCCTCCTAAGAAGTTACAAAATCGTCTCAAAAAAGAACAATTTCCTACTAAAAAAAAAAACAAAAAATCCAACTAAAAATATATTTAGAATAGTTTTGTTGTTCAATACAATTGAATCTAAGTTTGTCAACTGATTTGTAGTATAAATAAACACACACTCGGCATAGTGTGTCCTCCAAACACTCATTATGTTCATTTCTTACCATACTTTTTGAAACCACTTTACCTTTTACTTTATTTTAAATCTCTTTTATGTATAGACCTCCCATTCCCGATTTCTAGGCGGGAATTTCCCGATTTTCATCACGATTCCCGCAGATTATTGGACCAAATTCCCGATCTGGGCCAAAATTCTCCTGATTTA